TTTTTTCATTTAATATAACTAGATAAAAGCACCATAGACCATTAAAATTAAACTTTCATAAGTCATTAGTCCTCAGTGAATCTTAGGCCTCTGCCCCATTATGATGCAAGCTTAATAAAAGTAAGGACTAATAGTTTAATAATAGGGACTAATAGTATAATAGCTTAATACTAGACTCCCAGTCCCTGGAATAGTCTGGTAATAGAGTATCTGTTCAATCAATCAATCAATAATTTGCATTCTTTTTAAAAGGAATTTTTTAGATGTGATTTATTAGGCTTTTCATATAAACTCATATATCGGGGTGAAGATTGGGAAATTTTTTAAAAAATATTTTGATTTTAGATACCATAACTAATCTTCCTTCAAAATGTGCCATTTTTCTCCCATCCTTTCTGCTTCCACTACCTCATTCCAAGCTCACATGCTTCTGATAGCTACAGCTATCACCTCCCATGCAGTCCCCCTGCCTTCTGCAATCACAATCTGTACCACCATCAAAATAATTTACCTTCAGCACAGCTCTTTAAGGTTAGGTTTTGCCTTAGGTTTCCTTTGTTATCAAAAGCTGCCCTCATTTCTGAGCTCCCACAGGATCAAACATCTTCAATCATCACGCAATTCTGCATTGTAAGTCCAATTTTGTATTCATTTTCTCTCCATGTGGATCCTTCAGTCTTTTCAGATTAACCTATATGTACCAACTACACACACATGCAAGCACACAGACATGAGGATTACTCCTGCCTCTGACTTCTCTTTTACTGCCTGACCTACATTCTTAAGTGGTGTATTCGTCAGTGTTCTCCAGAGAAACAGAACCAACTGGATGTGTAGATAGATAGATGGATTGACAGACTGATAGATTGATTTAAAGAAATTGACTCACATTATCGTAGAGTTAGGAAATCCAAAATCTACAGGGTAGTTCGGTGGGCTGGAGACCCAGGAAAGAGTGGTAGCATGAGTCCGAAGGTGGTCTGCTGGCAGAATTCCCTCTTTTTCCAGGGAGGCCAGTTTTTTTCTGTTACTACTTTCAACTGATTGGATGAGGTCCACACACGTTATGAAGGGTAATCTGCTTTACTCAGTCTACTGATTCAAATGCTAATCTCACCTTTAAAAAATAACCTCACAGAAACATCTAGAACAATTTTTGACCAAATATCTGGGTACTGTGGCCCAATCAAATTGACACATAAAATTAACCATCACAAATGGCTTCTCCATCTCCTGTCACAATGTTACTTGTCCAAACATGTCCCATTTCCCTAATGTCTTTCCTAATCCTTTTAATCCAGTCTGATCTGTTATCTGAATTCTTATTACACTTTTGTACTATTGCTTCAGGATCCTGTAATGTGAAAAATGATATTGAAAGCCTGAGAAAGTGTATTAGCTCTCATTTTACTTAGGATATCTCTGGGTATATGGAACGTGAATCTCCTTGAAAACAGAGACTCTGTGTTGCATTTCCCCAGCATCTGCCACAGCATCTCGGAAACAGTATTCAATAAACAGCCTGTTAATAATTTTAATCTTCCATTCATCAAATATTTATGGAGCTTCTACTGTGTGCATGAGAATATAAGCTTTGCAAGCTCAAATGTTCATGTCTGTTCATTACTATAGCCCTAGGACCTGGAAGAATGCTTGGCTCATGATAGCCCTTTAACGATAGACTAGGGTATTTCAAAAAGTTTATGGAAATATTTGTATTATCTTTTAGTTCTGTTTTTCCACAAACTTTTTGAAGTACCCTTGTACAATGGTGGATAATGAGAGAATTAAATAGAATATAAGTTCCATGAAAGGGAGCTCACATGCCTCTTATAAATACTCCAAGCACCTGGCGCAACTCTGGACATTTATTATTTGTTCATTAGATCAATTGTATTGGTTGCAGCAAAAAATCAATAGATTCTCTCTTTTATCAGTTACCACCTTGTGGATAAATGCTTTTATTTGCTAAAATAGAAAATCCACAGTATAGAAAGATGCTGTTGGATTATGCTAAATAAAATTAAAATTATGACTATTTTGTTGTTATTCCAATAGAGTTTATTATGCCATGTTGACATCTGTTACTTGAATTGTATTATTCAACCACCTCAGCACTAAAATATTGAATATTTTTAAGTAAAAATGGATATACTTTACACATTTTCGCAAGAGATGGTAAATTTTTAAAATATTTTAGATGTCTTGGTAATTCTACAGAAAATAAATTTAGCATTTATTTAAATTTAAATTCCACTCTATACTAGCAAAATAAAAGGCAAAAAATTAAAATTATGTATTTCATATTTTATACCTGTATTCCAGGAACAAAAATCCAGCATGTGTGTTTTTCTATTTAAGTGTTTAACTTTCAACATTTTGGGTGATGCTACTATTATTTGAAGAAAGTTCTAAGGTTACTTAACCAATTTACGTAAGCTATTTGGCAATACTATAACCAGGGCTCCCTGCTAAAGGAGACTGCTACTATAATGAAATAAAATGAACTTCATATTTTCTTTTTTTTTTTTTTCTCTTTTTGTCTTTTTTACTGACTGGTAACGGGATCGCAACCCTTGGTGTTGCGCCTGCACCGTGCTCAGCCAGAGAGTGGGAACCGGCCTCCACATGGGATCCAAACCCTCAGCGGGACTGCCTCCGTGCTCCCAAGCGGCGCACTCTACAGTGTGCCACCGGGCCGGCCCATGCTACTATAATGAAATAAAATGAACTTCATATTTTCTAATGTTTCATTTTCTACACAAGAAAACTAAGAACTCACAACTAAAATGTTTTTAGTTTTCAGCTTTTATTTATTTTCATGATATGATCAAATCAGGATTTGGGTTTAGGGGTTAGAGAAAGAGAATTGTTCTATTTTCATATGACTACCATCTCATATGCTCTATCACGTGCAAATGTGATTAAATCAGTTATTTGCAGCCCTCAAGTCCATTAGCTCCTGTAGTCCACATATAAATGTGTGAATCAAAACCAGACTTATTACATGAAATGATACGGAAAAGGAAATCTTACCAGAAGACTTTCTGCAATTGTCCCAATTCTCTTCTATATTTGGTAACTAACATACTGAAACTTTTTATTCATAGGACCTGATTGGGGATCTGAAGGAGAAGCTTTCACATCACTTCAAAGACATTATGGTTGGCCTCATGTACTCACCACCATCTTACGATGCTCATGAACTCTGGCATGCCATGAAGGTAGTGATCTGATCCAAAAGTACACCTGTAAGAGATACAGACTGATATTGCAATAGAGGGGAGACTGCCCAGTGATGCTCCAACATACAAATACAATCGAGAAGAGAGGAGGGAATATCCATGCAATGATGTACCCGTGGAAATGCTGCAGTCAGGGGAAGTGGCCTGTGGAAGAGCCCGGTGGCTGGGATCAGCTGCTCTTGTGTTTTAAAAACTCAGGTTTACTGAGCCAGCTCCCTGCTGAGCTACCAAAGGAAAGAGTAAATAAGCCTCCAGGGCTATTCAGATTTGTGTTTCCTGATATGTATTTATGTATTAAGGGAGACATGTTAAAAATTATGTGAATCCTTTTAAATTATTTGCAAAAATTTGGTTTATTAAGTCAAAATAAGATATTGAATCAGAGACAAAATATAGACTACATCTTTATTTTTATGACCTTAGCTTAGTTCTTTACAAAAACTATTGTTCAGATGTATCAAACTTTTACTTTTTTTTTTTTGTGACCGGTAAGGGGATCGTAACCCTTGGCTTGGTGTTGTCCGCACGGCGCTCAGACAGTGAGCGCACTGGCCATCCCTATATAGGATCCGAACCCATGGCCTCAGCGCTCCCAGTGCTGCACTCTCCCGAGTGAGCCACGGGGTCAGCCCGAACTTCTACTTCTGAAGGATTAGAATAATTCTTTCTTACAGGAAAGTCATTTCCATGGAATAAATTTACTACAGATTTGTTACAGATATTGTTGGCTTGGGAAGGAAAAGAGGGCCTTTTAACTTATTTTCAAATGCTGATATTAAGCACCTGCAGAACTGTTGAAATCATTCCAGTATGATGCTTGCCAATGACCAGATTACCACAATCTGTGAACAATGTGTGACAGGAAAGAAGCAAGAGAAAAAAACAAATAAAGGAATGTGGATTTTGGCCATCATGTTTACTGATCAGAAAAGGGACTGTATAAAATTTATGTGAATTTCAACTGCTCAGTTTTTTAAAATGTTTCATGTCAATCTCTACCTCTTGAAAAATTATTTGACTAAAAATTACATGAACAAAGTCATATGTTGCTATTTTGGTATATTTTAACAATGTTTCATAGAATGGTGAGGATTTCTGAGGCTCCCTTGAAAAAGGTGTGTTGTCTTTAAAATCACTATCACAGAGTAATATACACATATGTCTGTAAGAGATCACAAAAAGCACCCTGTCCAAATGTGTAGTCAGATTGCACAAAATTCACCATCTAGGTCTGGCAAGTTAACCCAGTTAGAATGCACTGTGATAATATCAAGGTCAAGGGTTCAGATCCCCATACAGGCCAGCCGCCAAACAAACAAACGAACAAACAAAAAAGCAAAATTCCACATCTAAGGAGGGGCAGGGACAGGTCCCCGAAACATCCTTGGAAATTAGAAGACCTATGTTCTAATTTCAGCTTGCTAAAATATTGATATTCCAGCAGCAAATAGAAATGCTCAGGACCATGAGCATTGTTTAGGCATATCTTCTTCCACATTGCTTTATTCTAAATGAAGAAACAGAGCTTCCTTCTCAGGGTCAAACAGCTAGTAAATGGCAGAGCCAGCACTGAGATTGGGCCTATCTTTACCCAAACACACTTCGTTTCCCTTCTGCCACCTGCCAGAACACCAGGAACGCTGTATCCCTTTATTGTACATAAGGTGCACTATTATTCCCAAGAAAAATGCCCTTATGGTTCTCTTTCTTTCTTTGTTGTTCCAGGGAGTAGACACTGAAGAGAATTGCCTCATTGATATATTAGCTTCAAGAACAAATGGAGAAATTTTCCAGATGCGAGAAGCCTACTATTTGCGTAAGGGAATATACACATGTGCATGTATTTTACATATGTGTGAAGTTCATATTTTTCAAAAGACACACAAAAAGTTCCAGTTTATGTGTCTTAAATAACTTCTTAGGACACATTACATCCAAAATAACAAGAGCAATTAACTCATTAAATAAAATTAATGATCAGCATCCTAAAGATGAAACAACTCCCTAGACGATCAAGTTAAGCAAATTCTCCAGAAAAATAATTACAAGTTTCTACGAAGTGAATCTTTCCATTAAGACAGGAATGTACTTAGCATCTTGGCTCAGGGAGCATTTTATCTTTTACCAAGGAGAGAGACTAGGTTCAGAGACAAAATGAAGCACGATAATTGCTCAGCGAATTCTACAAATACTCTGTATCTGCTTGGCTTCATTTTTCATAATCTCTGTAATCTACCTCAAAATCATATTTTTACACATTTCAAAAGTAGAAAGGGTAACTATTTGCATTTTTAAAAAGATTTCATGCCTTAAGTTCCATTGCATCATATGTTATGTAACATTGAATGTCAAGAAAGTGTTTCGGGCAATCACCTCTACTGCATTTGAACAAAAACAAGACTTCTCCAAGGGAAGTGAAGAAAGAACCTTCACTTAAAATATTAGAATGAGACCAAACACTTGGGAAAAATGCTGGACTGGGCAGCAGTCTATGCAACTAGAATGCATAACTCTAAATGTTGAGAATTAGAGAATATGATATGACTCTCAATGCTAATTTTCAATTTTGGAGTAAAGATAATTTTTTAGAGAAAATAGACCTGTGCCTGTGTCAGATTTCTTTGGTAAATAGTTTATTGACAAAGGAATATCAACAGATTCATTGTATTTCCTCTACTTCCCATTCATGACTAGGGAAGTAGCATTAACTTATTCAAAGCACATTGGTATGTGGTTCTATAATAAATCATGCCTTTAATGTGAATATTCTTTTACCCAGAATACAGCAATAACCTTCAAGAGGACATTTATTCAGAGACCTCAGGACACTTCAGAGATACTCTCATGAACTTGATTCAGGTATGGCATTCCAAATTTCACACCATTTTGCATTATTAAAAAATAAATATATGTCATTTGCAAAAACTAGGACAGAAAATTCCGGTATATTTCTGTTCAACAGAAAATTTACTGTAATAACATTTTCTGAATATTAGCCATGTTTAAGGCACTCAACTAGAAATTTGAGTTGGGTATAAAGACAAATATGAATAGTATACCAGCTCTATTCTCAGAAAATTAAAAATCTATCATATTCAAAATGATTATAAATATACATATATATAAATAATTATATATTGCAAGGGAGTTAAAAGATTAAAATGTTACAGTTACAATTTATAATTCTAATTAGAATTTAATTTCATTTTTTAAAACTGCTAAATGGGTTAGGAGCATACAAAGTTTTCTGAGCTCCTACTATGTGTGAGAAGAAAAGCATATTTCTCATTTACTAGCAACAAAGCACTGAAATATAAATATTCTTATAAAATAAACACTTCAAAATTAAAACTATAGTGAATCAAAAAGTATAAGTTCTAGCTTATAAGGTTCTGACTGTATAAAGAGCTGGTAAGTATAAATCCAGAATTTAACTGAATCCTATAGACTGTGGTATTATAAGTTAGCAAGAAAAGGCATTACTTCAAATTAAAATTAGATTTCATCATTTACCCTATTTTTCTGTACTGACTAAATGGTATGTAATTATTTCCATTCAAATAACATTTCTTGAAAACTTTTCACATATTAGATTGTAATAAGAATTATATTTTAAACATATAGTTTTTTTGTTTCATGCTGAGTGGGAAAAAAAACACACATAAACTCTTTTTGCTATACTCTTACTCAGCAACAATCAACACAGAAGACAGACTTCTACAACCAAGAGTCGGGTATTCCTCCCCCCCAGCAAGCAAGCAATTCTGCAGCGGACACCAGCTGGGTGTCCTCTAATTCAATTCCAACACTATGTACCTGAAAACAGTGTCAAATACCACAGTGTAGCTCAGTCTTAGAAGACTGTTGACTGGTTTATTATAAAGGATATTGCAATGGATCCAGAAGAGACTCATAGGGTGAGGTATGGGGAAAGGGAGCAGAGCTTCTTCCGACCTGAAAACAGTGTCAAATACCACAGTGTAGCTCAGTCTTAGAAGACTGTTGACTGGTTTACTATAAAGGATATTGCAATGGATCCAGAAGAGACTCATAGGGTGAGGTATGGGGAAAGGGAGCAGAGCTTCTTCCATGCCCTCTCCAGCACCCTCCAGGAACCTCCATGTGTTCACATATCTAGAAGCTCCCCAAACCCTGTGCTTTTGGGTTTTATAGAAGCTTCATTATGTAGGTGTGAATCAAGCATGGACAAACATGTGTAGAAATTGGACAAAAAGGGCACAATCTAACACTAACGATCTGGGTGGAGAAACCCAGCAAGGTCTCTTTGTTCAGATTCTTCTTGGTCTCTGTTCAGTCTTCCTTTCTCCCAGGTATGGGTGGTGTGGGGGAGCCTTTCTCAAATGGGGGTCTTATGACCTATAATCAAATTAAGTAGGTCAGAGAATTTCCTTATGGCCAGCCAAGACAGAAAGGTGAGGAAGTTTAGAACAAGCCTGGAACCATGGATGAAAACCACAATAAACATATCATAATATCACACGTGCATATTCTTGAATGTGCCTGTCATCCTATTTAGCAAAGGCATTCAGGAATGCAAGGAGAAAGACAGTCAGTGTTCAGCTATTAACTACTGAAAGAGAATCTAGAAGCCCACAGCTGGGGAAAATGTCTTAGCCAGTATTTTGGTTTGGTTTTATATTGTATGCATGTGTGTGCAAGTATGTGTATTAGAAATTAAATAAGCATTTCTAAATCCCTAAAACTTTCCTTTACATATGAAAAACATAACTGAGTAGTTAGCAAACAATTTCACTACAAGACATAGGTATCATTTTGTAACATGGGAACGTGAAATTAAGGAAAGATTTCATTGCCTTTAAAGAAAGAAGAAATGAAAGCCCTTTTAGTGGAAATAAAGTGGAAGAGTGGAACCCAGGACAGAGAAAGATTCAGAGTCCAGAGGGAGGACCCTAGAGTGAGACTCCTGTCTGGAGCCCTCAGGAACCCAGAGCCCCACACTCTTAGGAGAGGAGTTAGTATCACCATATAAATATATAACACAGACCATTGTCTATTTTTTCTTTTATTTCTCTGAACCCTTCCAGTGCCAACTGCCTCCATTAGTTCCAGGATATTTGCTAGCTTAAACATTTCTGTGGCTACTGTTGACAAACTGGGAGAGGATCATGCTTGTCCTTTGCCCTCTTGGCTTTATCTGAAGGGCTGTTGTAGAGCATACCCTCCTTGAGGGCTGTACCTCTTTCACAGCTCAATTTTGGTAAATTAAGAGATGTAACAGTTTGTATACTGCTAAAGTAGTCTACTTTACTGTGAGTTTATGATGTCATGGAGAAATGTGATCAACTTGCTTCCAGTTAGTTCCATTTACCACTTAACCAGACCCCAAATTCTTTCCAAGATATATTTATTAAATATAACATTTCTTTGCATCTTTGAACACCCCTTATGCCTCTCTTTTTTTCACAACTTAAAGACAATTCATTGAAGGCTCTCTCAGACAGTAAAAATAGCTGGTATAACTGCAAGACTAAGTCGTAAAAGGCTTTTGCCTTTCAAAGCCTTTTCAAGTCTCAGCTCACATTGCTAGGAATCAGTAAGTAGTTTCCTCTTCTAACTCTTAGAGGAACCAAATTTCTAAAGTTTCTTTCCCCTCTCTTTCATTCCTGCTTGCAAAGCAACCAATTATTTACTAAGCTCATCTCTTTCTTGCGATACATGGCTAAAAGCATAAAGTAAACACCATTTGTCAAGCTCATGTGAAGAGCAGAACAGGTGCTTCTGATCAGAAAATAACTCCCCTTCAAGAAGTGATGCAGAGACTCAGTCTCTATCCACCTTCACACCTAGCAGTATCATGCCTATCTTCAACCTGCAAAAGCTAAAAGACAATGGAGGATTGTTCATGAGAGTTTTCATGGGCATCATTGTGATGCATATCATTTCTGCTCAGATTTCATTGGCTAAACCTCAGTCAGATAGACCTACTAAATATCAAGGGTAGCACAAAACATAGTTCAGCTGTTCGTCTTTAAGGAAGTTGAAACAAGTTTGGCAGTCAGCTATCAGTGTGCATCAAAGTTGAAAAAGAAAATTGAATGCTGCAACCAAGAAGACAAATGGGCAACAGAAGATGGTAAGTATAAAGATGTCCATGCCAATAAGTAGAAAACTTACACAGATGACTGCATTAGGCATAAAGAGAATTTCCAAAATAATAGCATATATAAGCAAAGAAAAAAAGAAAAGAAAAAGCAAATAACTGAGGAGAGAGGAGAAGCAGAAAATAGGGAGAGTTTGGCCAACTGGTTCAAAGTTACAGTTAGAAGGAATAAGTTCTGGTGTTCTATGGCACAGTAGCCTGACTAAGGTTAACAGTTAAGTTTTGTATATTACATTTTAGCTAGAGGAGAGGCTTTTGAATGTTTTAGCCACAAAGAAATAAACACATGAGGTGATGGTTATATTAACTACCCTGACCCGATCATTATACAACATACATATGTATCAAAACATCAGATTGTACCCCACAAGCATGTACAATTACAATGTGTCAATTAAAATAAACGAATAAGTAAACAAATTGAAGATAAAAAGAGATATAGGTTTTAGCAGAGTATGCCAGAAATGGTGTCTCTTACTTTACATTGTGATGACTCACTATTTTTAGTGAAAATAAACTACAGCACTAGCAGGAAAAAAATAGTAATAAAGTAAAATTCCCTGCATGCTTTCTTAAAAGTATTTTAAGAAGGAAAATGTCTTTGCAATTTTAGCCATGCTTTACATTTCTGAACATACTTTTATCATGTCACCATTTCAAACGAATGAATGATCTTTTAAAAGACCAGTGTATGAAACTTTCTTCGACCTACCTTTAATCTTACTTGTAAAGTGATGATGTTTATTACATTACCAAAGAGGAAATAAAATATCATGTAAAGCTAATTTTAATTTCTACATTATTAATTCTACC